AACATTAAAATATCAAATCCAGGCCACAAAGATGATTCAGTGAGTAAAGATGCTTGCTGCCAAGACTGACAACCTGAGTTTGATCTCTAGGAGTCACATGGTGAAAAAAAGAACCAACTCATGTAAACTGTCCTCTAGCTGCCACAGGTACACCAACACATACACATTAATCAATCAATTAATTTTTTCAAAAAGATATTAAGCTCCTATTTAGATTCAATTCTTTGGTTTTTCGAGACAAGGTTTCTCTGTGTAGCTATGGCTGTCCTGGAACTCTCTCTGTAGACCCGGCTGGTGTCGACCTCACAGAGATCCACCTGACTCTCATGTGCTGGGACTAAAGGTGTGGACCGCTACCACCACCACCCAGCTGGAAGACAGTTTTTAAGGCAATAATAGGTACAAACTTTTACATTTATAGTTCAGACTAAAATCAACATAAAAATATATAAAAAAATTGATAATATTCCAATTAAGAGCCCTAAGAAATAAACTAACTCAAAAGTAAGGATATTGCAATAGCCAAGGAATGAAGTTGCCAAGAACTTTAAGCAAAAAGCACCTAAATCTAGAAACAAATAGTGCTCCTTAGTTATCTATTAGTTCAACATACATTGATTAAATTGTCTTCTACTTCCAAGACCCTAAACAAGCTAAGAAGCTTCCAACCAAGTAGGAAGATAATTCCATAGGGCAAAATATACATAAATAAATGCAGCAGCCACTAGAAACATGATAAAGAAATTCCATCTAAGAAGTACTCTAAAAGAAATGGAAAAGGGCCGGGCGGAGGTGGCGCACGCCTTTAATCCCAGCACTCGGGAGGCAGAGCCAGGCGGATCTCTGCGAGTTCAAGGCCAGCCTGGGCTACCAAGTGAGTTCCAGGAGAGGCGCAAAGCTACACAGAGAAACCCTGTCTCGAAAAACCAAAAAAAAAAAAAAAGAAATGGAAAAGGAAGGACATCTTCTAACAAAGAGCACTAGGGAATATATATTTTGGGGATTTGAAAAAAAACATCTGATGTGAGTTTGAAACATATATAAACTTTTGACAAGTGACCATTTAGGTGATAGGAGGACAAAATCATACATTCAAGTCACAGCAAAAAAAAAAAGAAAAAGAAAAAAGAAAAATCTATAGAAGCCATGATGGGCTCCAGAAGAAAAAATGGACTAGAAAATTAGGAAGCAAAACTAGTAGGATTTATATGCAAGGGTAAGCAATCTGGGGCTTTTATTTTTAAATAGGCGAAAGAAACAGTTTGAAAGATTGTTTGTTTTTTCTAGACTAGCTCTCTCTGTGTAGCCCAGGCTGTCTTACAACTCACTCTGTAGACTAGGCTTGGAATTTAGAGATCAGCCTGCCTCTGCCTTCTGAATACTGGGATTAAAGGCCTGCGCCAACAGAAGATTTTTTTTTTAAAAAATCACAACATTTATCATTGTATCATTGTAGGTAAATCATCACATGATAGTTTAACAATAAAAATGTAGTAAAGAGCCGGGCAGTGGTGGCGCACGCCTTTAATCCCAGCACTCGAGATCCAGGAAAGGTGCAAAGCTACACAGAGAAACCCTGTCTCCAAAAAACCAAAAACAAAACAAAACAAAAAAAAAGAAACCAACAAAAAAAAAAGAACAAAAACAAACACACACACACACACAAACACACACACACACACACACAAAATATAGTGAAGAGCCTTTTTGCTCTTCCAGAGGACCAAGGATTCAATTCCTAGCACCCACATCATGGCTCGTAACTGTATATTCAGTTCGAGGGAATCCAATGTCCTCTTCTGGCCTCGGAGGGCACCAGATGTGCATGTGGTACACAGACATATACCCACAAACAAAAACTATAGACTGGACAGAACAGAAATGGGAAAACAGTAAGCTTTCACCCAGTTCTAGAAGGAAGAACTTTTCTTAGGGTGGCAGATTAGGAAAAAGACAGATACAAACATTCTGCCAATCATCTCATTGATAATTTACTCATAGTTTAAAATATTCTAAACCCTAACTTAAAGTTAGCATTCACATTATTTCCATTAAAGGATATGAAGTTATATGGGTAGGAATTTGGGCTTGGAACTGAGAGGAGTTGGTAGGGGATTGAACATGGTCAAAACATATATAGAACTCTAAAAAAAAAAGTAAATATCATTGTATATTAGTTTTGAAAAAAAAAGTCTTATTTAGCTGGGTTTTTGTTTTTTATTTTTTGTTTTGTGTGTGTGTGTGTGTGATAGGGTTTCTCTGTGTAGCCTCCTGGCTGTCCTGGAACTCACTCTGTAGACCAGGCTGGCTTTGAACTCAGAGATCCTGCTTGCCTGCCCCTGCCCCTCACAAGTGCTGGGTGGGATTATAGGCATGTGCCACCACTGCCCAGATGGTTTCTGATAATTTAAATAAAATATGATCTGGCACACACAAAAAAATTTAAATAAAGAAAAAATGTAATGCACATGCAAAAAAAAGTTTACACACACACACACACACAATTTTTTCCCACTTTAGGCCAGGTGTGATGGCCTTTAATCCAGTACTCAGGAGGCAGAGGCAGGTGGATTTCTGTTAGTTCCATGCTAGCCATCTAGTGCCTCAAAAATTTAAAAAAGAACAAAAATTAATTTTTTGGAGGGGGGTGGTTTGAGACAGGGTTTCTCTGTGTAGCCTTGTGCCTTTCCTGGAACTCACTCTTGTAGTCCAGGCTGGCCTTGAACTCACAGAGATCTGCCTGCCCCTGCCTCCCGAGTGCTGGGATTAAAGTTGTGTGCCACCACCGCCCAGCCAAAAATTAATTTTATAGTCAATGTTTCAGCCTATTTAAAAGCAGTTTCTTTTTGAAATATTGGAAACACCACATTCTTTAGTAAGGATGCAAAACAAAAGATAACAATATAAACATATTTTCAGTGTTCTGAATATTTAGTATACAGAATTTTATTCAAGGATAAACATCTTAAACTCAAAAGTTTATTTTGATGAAAAATAAAGTTTGGGTCAGAATTTTCTATACAATCATATTAAAGCCCACATCTTTGCATAATTATAATGGTCAGCTTTCTGAAAAATAATTTCTGGGCCAAACATTGTGACACATGACTGTAATCTCAGCACCTCAGAGGATGAGACAGAAGGAATGCCAAGTTTGAGAGCCCAGCCTCGACCACACAGAGTTATGGGCTAGCCTGAGCTATACTGTGAGTCAATCTCAAAAATAAATAAATAAAATATATATTCAACTTGACCAATATTTTCCTGTAAGGTTAAAATTTTTCAATCATTAGTGCCTTCTTCATTTTCTACCCTCCTCTCTACTCAACTCCCCCACCCAACAAATCCCCTTTGTATGTATGGAAGGCAAGATACTGTATGATCCAGCAGGACCCTAAGGCAATGTGCATAGATAATTCTTATAAATACAGATACATAGTATCGTTTACCCTTTACAGGAGAGATACCTGGGGTATACTAGATTTCTGAACACATGAATGACAAATGTATCTAACAGAAGCAACGCTTTACCACTGGGGGAAACAAAGGAGAAAACACACAATAGATGGATGGCAAATCTTACAAACTTTACAGAACACTGAAAAGCTGCATGTGGATTACAACCACGTTTACAAAAGTAAACCAAGACAGTTCTAAAACAAAGAAAAGGAGAAAAATTCTTAGTGATAATTAAGAGTTTTCAAAAAAGGGTGATTCAATATTAGTATTAGTTTTTAAGGCATCATTTAACACTATCACTAATTTTTAAAGAAGATACTTCTCCATTCACAAGGACACTAGAAATAATTACTACATACCTTCTACGAGACATTTATACTTCATTATACTTGCATGGACTTCATTCTTTTCAAACGTTTCCAAAAATACACAGTCTTATAATAAGCAAGGTTCCCTAATGACAAACACGTTATTCTGTAGGTTTAACTACAACCCATTTTAAAAAGACAACGAATTCATCCTCAATTAACACAAGGAATCACAAAGGCCCTCTGCTTATTCAAAATCATTACATAAAGCACTGTCGGTAACTGCAAGGAAGGTTTGAATATCTGACAGCTATAATAACCTAAAATGAGGCGTACTTTAAAGAACAAAAAAAACTTTTCCATTTCCCTTTCTTTCCCCTTCCCTATCAGGGACACAAAATATCTCTAATGGCCTCAGAAAAAGCTCTCAAATAAAAATATATTATATATGCATTTCCCATGTACACGTACAGAAACCTGCCCCATCTCTGTGTATATCCCATTCAGAGGAAAGAGAAAGGGTCTTTATTTTTAAGAGTCAAAATTATATCAATTCTGACACCCAAACTAAGTTAAATCACTATAAATTAATTAACGAGTAATAAAATACTGCATGCAAACCTAGAGACTATATGCACAGAAGGGAAGAACCTCAGACTAAGGCCATGAATGAATAAGACCGCCCAATCCCTGAAAATCACTAACCGGCATTTGGTTTCTATGAGAGAAACACGGAGTCTTAAAATGAAGAATCACAAAGGCAACTCAGTTTCTGAAGTTAACCAAGGTAAAATACAACGAACCAAATCAGACAACTGCATTAAAGTATAAGCTTTAAGGAATTCTCACAAAGGGAAAGACTGTCTTCATGAATGGATTGTAAAACATCCCTTGCAGGTAGAAATCTTGAATTATTTTAAAAAAAAAAAAAAAAAAGTGGAGGCCCGTCAAAAACCTGAATGACATGCAAAGGCAAAGCCAAAAACTGATCTTTCCTCCCTCCCCCACTCCAGTCCCCCCACCCCCACCTTCTCCGGACAATGGGATCAGGGTCCTAACTGCAAACTTTAAAGGTATAAGCCAGAGCAGTTTTACTGCAGCTTTAACTGCAATCTGCCCCTCATCCCGAACCTGGCGCACCCAACAATACTTCTGGCCTGAAAACATCACCGGGGTTTCGTTAAGAACAAATCAGACCCATCCAAAAAAAATTAAAAGTTTGCTCCCAAATACCTGGAGGATCCATTTCAATATAAAATATCAGTTCTGTCGAATAGGGCATCATCACCTCCCTCCAGTCTGCGTCATCGCGGTCCATACTCCACACCGTATTGTACATCGCGCTGTCAGGGGCAGGTCGTCAGGAAATATATAGAAAGCATATATATCTTTTATCTGGTATTTCAAAATCTAACTATATATATTTGCTAAAGTTCCAAACGGAAATGTACTTCGGGGTTTCCAACGGCCAGTACAAGTCCAGCCAACTACTGGGATGAGGACAAGATCCTCCCCCTCTCTCCTCCAACAGCACCCAACAAAATGCCCCGAACTTTCAAAGCTACGGGGTTTTACCTCAGAGGGTTACAGAGAGGCTCGGAAAGCAGAGAGCAGTGGTGTTAAAAAGCCGCTTCCCGAAAAATCCTTCCTACACAATCGCTCTCCGAAGGGAAAAAGCTCCCCACCGCCTCCTAATCTTTCAGCGGAAGCCACTTTTGTGTCCTTCGGAGGAGAGAGAATGGGAGAGGAGGAAAAAAAAAAAAAAAAAGAACGCGTTGGGAGAAAGCTGGGGAAGTGACAAAGGCTGGAAAGGGGGGGGGGTTGCGTTCAAGTTTCGGGGTCCCACTGGTCTGCAGAGAGCGACTCCCTCTGGGACTGGGGCTCGGGCTCTGTTCGCGTCAGGCTGGGAACCCAAGCTTCCGCAGCTTCGGGATGGCGACCCGTGGGCCAGTCCAGTCAGTCAGCTCGGCTGTGCGCGGGGAGCAGAGGTATCCCCGCCAGCGCCGGCTCCCCTCACGCTCTGCCGGGGAGCCAACCACTAGAGTTTCATTTTAACTGCGCGGAGGGGACCTCCTCCCCCGCCCGCCCTCCCCACCCCCGCTGGGGCGCCACCCAACCGCGCGGGGCAGGGGGAAGAGCCGAGAGCACGACGGGTCTTTCCACTCCGTACCATCTTGACGTGCGAAGATCGTCAAGCGCCTGAGGAAGACTCCCTCGTCTAGCCCTCCACTCCGACTTTGAACTCTCTCCGTGCCCGTGTCAGACTCTACTCTTTGGTCAACCTCTGTCTCTACCCCCAGCCTCACTCCGAATGGTCCAGCCCGGGCGCTGGCCGCTCGCCAGGAGTCAGAGCCCGGCGCACGCGAGCTCCGCCAGGAGACGGGGGCTGACGGTGATTGGCTGAGCCCGGTTGCCGGAGCCCGAGCCTGCGTCTTTTGTCTGCCCTGCTCCAGCTGAGGAGCGGAGACGGCTGCGCGCCCCGAGCGGGCCAATCAGAAGAGAGCCGGCGCCGGCCGGTAAGGCGGCGATTGGTCGGACCTCAGTTACCAAGCGGGACAAAGGCAGAAGGGGAAAAAGAAAAGAGGAGGAAGAGGAGGGGTTGTGGAGAAAGAAAGAAGGCGCAAACGGCGGTTACTGACAGGCTGGGCGAGCGCTCGGGGGGCTCAGGCTGCCCGGAGACTGGCGGGGCTCCCGCTGTGACTCGGGCCGCCCGGACTAGTGACGAGGGGGAGGACGGGCTGGCGCTAGACTCTTCTGCCTGGAGACTGGCCGCGGGGGAGGGGAGCGGTGGTAGCGGGGCGTGCTGTCACTTGGCTGGGCGCACGCTCTTCGGCTCCACTGGAGTCGCAGGGCAGAGTTCCTCCTCACACACCTCCTCGCCTTGCCGCGTTCGCCCTCCCCTACCCCTGGGTTAAAGCGTCAGGTCCAGCAAAGGTCGCCATACCCACTTGCATGACTGTTCCTATCCAGACAGGGTGCCCATCGCCCCCCCGCAACTCCCGACGGGTATCTGAACCTCGGGCATTTCTTGGGGAGTCATTTTTGCCGCTACTCTGCTTCCCACTGTAGGACTTTTGAACCCAGAATAACTCAACGCTCAAGTAAATAGTGAGGCATCTCAGCAAGCCCTCCAGTTCTAGTACTCATAAAAACAAAATTTCTGGAAGTATAGTGAGTGTGATTTCTGAGGTAAATCACAGGTGTTGGGTTCTCTCGCCAAAGAGCCACTATTTCTGTTTCCCTGACAGACCCTTTTCCGCACACACAGTCCCCTGCCTCCAAACTTAAAGCTCGGAGACCAGCTTCAGTATAAAAATGCTGAACATTTCCATGCATTGCAGAAACAGCTAATTAACTTGCCGGGGACCGCTGAATAGCTAACCTGTGCCTGGAATTGCCATCCTGCTCTACAATACAGTCCGAGGAGGCCAAAAACTGCTGTTTCCTCTTCACACTGGAGTAACAAAGCCCATTGTGTTTGAGTTGACAACCTGATTTAAGCCCTGTGTATTGATTAGCCTCCGGAACAGCCGCCACTTTTCATCCTCCTGAGGTGGTTCTGCTTTTCTTTTTTCTTTATTTTGTTTATTTATTTATTTTGGTTTTTCGAGACAGGGTTTCTCTGTGTAGCTTTGCGCCTTTCCTGGCTCTCGCTCTGTAGACCAAGCTGGCCTCGAACTCACAAAGATCCGCCTGCCTCTGCCTCCCGAGTGCTGGCATTAAAGGCGTGCGCCACCAACGCCCGGCCCCGGTTCTGCTTTTCTTAAAAGTGTTTTGAGTTAGGCCAGCATTGGTGATTCACGTCTTTAGTCCCAGCACTCAGGAGGCAGGGGCAAGTGGATCTCTGAGTTCAAGGCCAGCCGTGTCTACAGAGAGAGTTTCAGGGCAGCCAGGGATACACAGAGACACTCTGTCTTGAAAAAAATAAAACAACAACAACAAAAAGAAGTCCTGAGCTGAGACAGGCCCCAGAAACAGTCAAAATCAAAATGTGTACAGACTAGATACAAAGTAAAGAGATAAAGAATCCGAAAATACAGACAGGGTTAAGCTTTAAAGGAAACAAATTTCAAAAGCACACAAGAATTCTTTCAGAATCCTCGAGATGCTTTCTTCTGTCTCTTGAGTTGAAATGTGTTTCAAAAGCTAGAGCAGCTCTGGAGCAGGACTCATTAATTTTAATCTCCTGAACTGCTCCTTCAGGTAGAAGATGTTGGAAGATCAACTCTAATTTGTGGCTGACTTCCCAGCAGTCTCTACTTTACCATATCTGAATGCCAAAAGTATTCACATTTGATAACTCAAAAGGCAGAACAATCCCTCACGGGCAAGTTGGTGTACGTTTGCTCACAGGTGTCCATGTGCATTCCCAAACAAAATGAAAGTGAAGAGACAAAAGTATGGAAAAGATAATGGCTTTTCTGTTTCTACTGCAGCTTTTGCCTGGACCACTTTTCATCAGTTTGTGATGGGGTTTCAGTTTCTAAAATACAGAGTATTTCTCATATCTAAGGTTTAGGGGGGGGGTGGAGTGAAAAAGTAACACAGTATAAGTCAAATGCTCCAGGTTGATACATGGCATAAAGCAAGTGTGCTGGATAGTTTTATGTCAATTTAAAACAGCTAAAGTCACCTAAGAGAAGGTAACCTCAATTAAGAAAATGCCTTTGACAGTGGTGGTGGCGCACACCTTTAATCCTAGCACTTGGAAGGCAGGGGCAGCTGGATCCCTTGTGAATTCAAGGCCAGCCTGGTCTACAGCCAGAACTATTATATAGAGAAACATTGTCTAAGAAACTGCCCCCAAAAGAAGGGAGGTGGGGGGAATGCCTTCATACACTCAGGCTGTAGGCAAACCTGTAAGGCATTTCCTTAATTTGTGGATTGATGTGGAAGGGCCCATTCCGTTGTTGGTAATGCCATCTCTGAGCAGATGGTCCTGGGTTCTATAAGGAAGCAGGCTGAGACAAGCCAGGGAAAGCAAGCCAGTAAGCACCACTCCTCCATGGTCTCTGCATCAGCCCTTGCCTCCAGGCTCCTGCCCTGCCTGAGTCCCTGCCCTCACTGCTCTTGATTATTAACTGGTGTATGGAACTGTGAGTGAAATAAACCCTTTCCTCCCCAAGTTGCTTTTGATCATGGTGTTTTATCACAGCAATAGTCACCCTAACTAAGACAGCAATGATTCAACCTTGCCACCAAAAATTGTATGAGCCAAAACCCTAATTTAAACAGACTGTTGAGTAGACTTCCAAGGAATGAGTGGTACAAGAGGCTATGGGGATGTCCAGAAACAGAACATTCCCTTTAAGATGCTTAAATCTGTCCTACCATGGTGGGAAGTGCCTATCACATGATGCTGGCTTTTCTTTCAGTTGGGAAACAGAATCAATGTTCTGATTGCTTGTCATTTAACTGCCTCTGGCTCTTTGGCAAAGGTAAAAAATGTTAGCTCTGGTGTCCTGGACCACTTCCATACTGGAGGATTATATTTGGCCTGAGTGTGGATTAAATTCAGCTTTCAGAGCTCAAACTCCTGGGTCACAACCTGCTACTTTGGGAGGTGCTTTTTTTTTTTTTTTTTTGGCCTCCCTCCTTTCTTCAATTAGCCTTAGATAAATCACAAAATCTATCTGCCTCTATTTATATATTTGAAATAGAAGATTGCCATTGGATTTATGCAAGCTACTTAATTTATTATGTAATACTCTGAGAGTGAAAAATGCCACTTAATAATTAGAATAGTACCTTTCTAAACTCCAAATAGCTAGGATGCCCTTCCTTTTTTTTTTTTTTTTTTTTAACCCTGGTATGGTTTTGTTATGAAACTGTTCAAATATGCTCCATTTCCCCTCCTCTATATTTCAGAAGTGGATGAAAATTTTCTTCTCTGCTCTGAATATAGTGTATGATCTCAGAGTTCTCTGTGCCAGAAGAATCTGCCTGGAACTCAGCCAAAAGTTATTCATGATTAAAGGTGCCATCTGAACACAAAATATTTTTTTAAGGTTGGCAAAATGAAAACGTCATTAGCTTTAACATCAGGACTGACTTTAGCCTTTGAGGAGGAATTCCACTAGCCTCAATCTCCTTTTCTTCTCCCTCTCATCACCTTCCCTTGACCACTTATCTCCTGAGACCCAGTCCATGCAGCTAAATAAATTCACTTAATAAACGGGAAGCAAAGAAAACACTAAAACTATCAGTTACAGCTTCTAGGGCCTCCCTAAGCTACGTGCTTTTGGATGGGAAAGTTTCCCTTATATTGCAAGAAGAGCAATGTTAGTAGATCTTCTAGAAAGACATTTCATACAGGAATTGATAGACATCTCTTGAGGTAGCTATGCCTAAAATCATTCTGAATATCATCTCTTTTATATAGCATTTGCCATTTTTTTACTTCCCCTCATCCTTTTTGAACACTTGGATAGTCATGATAGAGTTAATCATATCAGCCTAAGGCACTGACATTATGATGGTAGATGAATGAGAGGGGCTTTATAGAAGAGGCATTCATTCGTCCAAATGTTGATGAAGTCCTGGGCTTAGGGAGCTTAGACCCATCAGCACATGATGGAGAGCTGCTCTGCCACACTCTCCCCACCTTGGGTTCTTCAGCTTTAAGGGATATGAAAGTACATCTCTCTCTAGCCTGACATATTCCTCTCTTTTAGTCTCTGTCCTTCCAGCAACACAGAGGCCACCTGGATGATATGTATGCCGCTTCTACAAATGTCCCCTCCAACAAGGCAACAGATTTCAGCTTGGCTCTCACCAGGAGACGGAGCAAATGAGATCCAAATGACAGGAACAATAGTCCAGGCTGTTTTGCTAGGGCAGGGCACAAACAGGGAGAGCAGCTGGTGAGCTCTGTTACCTCATTTCATCTCCATAACCCTGGAGAAGAGGGTTGTATTTTTATTCTCATTTTACAGATGAGGAAATTGAGACCCAGATCAGTGAAGGAACTTGTTCAAAGTCATGCAATCACTTAGTAACAAAGCTGACACTTGAGCCCCAGGTTCGTTGCCCTTTCT